AGTCGAAATTTCCCTAGGAAATCAAAAGTTTCTCTCTTCAAATCCACAGTTTGCATCCATATTTATTATTTTTGTTTCAACTTTGCGAGGTTTGATGATTCAAATAATATTTTCAAACGCTGTTTTTTAATTAGTTGGGAAAAGGATCAACAATTTTTTCGTAGATGTACTGTTTTCTTATAAAATTATTCGATTATAGAGCTCTGATGATGGATTCAATAAAGCCCGAAGCGTTGGCAAAAACTGAATTGTTCATCTACGAAAACATTTTTGATAATTTTCCCAACTAAAAAAAACAGTATTTGAATTTATTTTAATTCATATTCTTTCCTCAATCTCTATCAATGCAGCCCAAAAAGAAGTTTTTTACCGTTCCCTTCCAGGTAACTTGATCAATAATGCTGAAAATTGACAATTAAAAGCAAGCGCGACGGAACAGTAATCAATTTTTCATTCCTACCGTATGGAGATTGTTGGAAGATCTCGTTCTAAAATTAAATTTAGTTTTTTCTCACCGATACGCGTCTTGGGTGGCATTGAAAACTAATAAATCAGCAATTTGTGATTGGTTCGTTGGAAAGTGTTAATTTTCTTTGAAAAATAGTGCCAGATGCGTTTCACTCATAATATCATACCTCGCATGGATATATTCCAGTTAAATTGGTAATTTCAATGCAACTACTGATTAATAAAAATCGTCTATAGGAATTATTAGATGACAGAAAATTATCAGTACTCATCAACATTAACGTGGTCATCTTCATCTCAATTATGATCGTGTATGATCATAATCGAGATGAAATTAGACATCAACAATCTGGACTCAAAATTTTGCGAGGTTTGCTGAATTAAATAATATTTTCAAATGCTGTTTTCTATTAGTTGGAAAACGGATCAAATTTTTTCTTCGCAAATGAACAGTTGTTTTTGTCAACTTTTCGGACATTAACAAATCCATCATCATGGCACCATATAAAATAATTTCATAAGGAAACAGTATATATGTCAATACATATTGCAAATTAATATGGTAAATAAAAACAGGTGGACTTACCAAACATCAGTTTATCCATGTTAAAAAAAAACGTTAAAAATATATATAACAGACAACGTAGGTACGAGAACAAACGAAAATGAAGACCAACTACATGAAACTCATACCAAAGACACATTAAAAATGAATACGCTATCAAGTAAGACAACTGATTGGAATTGGACGTTTTTGTTTATTATTTTTTTAAATTATAAACGATAGAAAGATATCTGAGTACACAGGACGGTGAAAACTTCTTTGCCCTAAATTGTTGAGGAATCCGATTTAACAAACTGAAATAAGCATTATTCAGTCATTCTATGTCTCTTCTAGTGTTGACGCTTCTTTGTTTGAAAATGTGGATCATCTCACCAAACACTCGTTTACCTAATAAAGGTTGAACATCTGCGATGTTGGATTGGCAATATTCAACTTTTTTATATTTCTTTCATGTTCAGACAACCTGTTTTTCGCGTAAAGCCTCGTTTGTCCTACATAACATTTTGGCCAATCCTTCCAATTAATTTTATGACGTTTGATTGCATATTTACAGAAGTTTTCAAGATTATTCACCAATATACCTAACCTAACTTAACCTAACACTGTTTTTATCGTATTTGTGTTCTTCATTCATGAAAGCCATTTTTTGCCAGAAATTCAACGACTTGTACAATAACAAAATGACATTGAGTGTAACAAATTGAAAGTCAAATTTAGGAACATCAAAGTCAAAGCCTATTATGATAAGAATTATTTTTTTTCAGCATCTCCAATTTTTCTAAAAAGAATGATAACTTATAATACATCATTGAAAAGGTTGAATCTGGTTCTATTCAAAACAGAAAGAATCCAATGTAGCGCCCATAATAAAAAGTAAAATTGATGATGGTGGCCGGAAGACGAAACGTCAGATAGCAAATCTAAAAACACTATTATATAGCAGGGAAAAAGTGGCAATGTGGAAGTGAAATGTATTTTCTTATCCTTTCAAAAATGAAGCCAGAAAAAAATAAAAACCATTTTCCGAAATTTCTGTTTTTTCCGGACATCTCCGGACATACTCGAAATTTCAGAACTTTCTCAACGGCATATTGCTAGTCAGATAATGTGCAACTTTGCCCCGATTTAACCATCTTCGTATCTCTCATAGTTTCCGAGATCCCAATGGTGAGGATCGAATTTGAAACACTCTGTATCTGTATAAAAAGTTCGCTTTCGAATTTTTCCCGGATTATTCACCAGTTCAACTCGCGTTGGTGGTCCAAATATCGATCCACCAAATTGAAATATTCGATATTTCAATAAAGTAGTCATGACATTTTCAAATTAATATTCATGTTGTCAGTGCGCGGTATATTCGAATCAAATTTCCAAGTGGGCGGAACAAATTTGTAACGAATTTAATTTAAAAAATCCTAGATGATAATTGAATGAGTGACTAATGACGGGTTATGGTTACGAGTTACATGTATTCGTACTAGTAGATCGTGTTGCGAGAAACCATGGGAATATTTGTGAAGAATTTGAATAATTACTGCATATAATTTGGAACGGAAAGTTTTTGAGGTAGACACTTGCATTGTCCTTGTCTAGAAGTTAATGTATGCAGATCTGATTTAATGTCACTCAGTAATTCAATGGAAATTGTTGGTGAATATTTTGGTGGCAATTTGTCTTTCTCTAACCATATTAGATCGAAATTAATTGAAGCTTTGTAGTATACAGTGCATATCATATCATTTAGTGTCCCTTACCTCTTATATTTTTTTAACGGGTCGACTCAAAAATTGAAATTTGGGATTAAAGAAATGCACTGTATATTTTCCTCTATATGCAAAATACTGAGCCATAAATACAATTAAATCGGATACTTCTTTCACAACACACATTCAAGAATGTCTGTCAAATTCTCATAACAATTAATACAATTGTCGTGTTGAGTATTTTTCCTAGATTAACTTTGTTTTTTACAGTAAATAATTCGGACGGATCGTTCAAAAGTTATCACGATAAGATTAACTTGATCCAACGCAGTAAGTCATTACGCGTCGCATCTACTGTAAGACTACGAGAGACGATGCGCGGGGGTAGAGGGGAGGTCTAAGCAATGAAGCGCCATCGCCGAGAACGCAACCCGAACGCGGGCAGACGCGTGCGGGCAAACGCATGAGGGCCGGTTGTGTTAGTTTTGCGAATTTCTTTATAGGTAACAGAATTCAATTTTCGATGCTATCCATTACTCAGTGCAGTTGGCATATTTTATTGTTTACTGCCTTTCAAAAGTAAAAATATAAATTACTAGCTGCTGTCCGCTCTTATATTACTGTACAGTTGAAGCTACTGGACTTAGAATCTTGAAACATGCAGGTAGGTTCTTTGTATAGTGTAATATTTTTGTTCTCCAACATACTGAGTTTAATTCTGCTAATGGTCTTTTACTGGTGGGTAATGAATTTTTATCATTATTATTGTTATTTTGTTCGAGTTCGAGTACTTTTTGAGGAGAGATTGATGTTTGGCAAAGAAAGTTTTTGGATTTCTACTACTCCATCTCGATACAAAAAAAATGTAAGAATCTTCCAACGAAAGAAAGGAAGTAATCAATTTAAAAAAAGTAATTGTAAACATAGATGTGTGGATCATGCAAAGAAGTAACTTTCAGACACGAACTGGAAGAAAAAACCACCTCGAAACAGCAATTTTCATATGAACATTGGAATACAGCAAAAAATTCTATTCAGTTTGTATTTCAAGCATTCAAAATGAAATAGCAAAGTAGATATATTGTTCCAAAGTTACGACCTTCAAGACGTATGTTCATACTAAGTTTTCTCAAAAATACCCCTTCAAATACTGGCATATCATTGAGAAACATCCTGTATGATGTGAAGATTTGTAATTATCCTAATGAAGACACAGATACAATCAACTCTACATTTTACTGACAGCGATATTATTAGAAACTCGTAAATCAGAAGCTCGTAGTTCACAATATAACTGAACCGACTCCAAATCGATCTTGTCAATATTTGGATTTTCCCAAATGAACACTTTGAATGACATTTATAGGTCAAACGGCCATCCAAAAATAATGACGGTGATTATATCTACCAAAATTGCTAACGATATCGTTCTGCCTATTATGTGTCTCGCTATTTAATTTACCAAGAGGTATGTAATTTTTCAATTTCGGAGAAGCAGTAATGACTATTATTCTTGTTCCCATTTATTAATTCCGAAACGCTTTGGGTAATTTTCGACATGTTTGGCCTCGTCATTTTGTGATTTGCAAGAGATCGTGTTACAGCTATTTCTGGGGATTGCAAACGAGTTTGCTGTGTTCAAAGCAATGTGCAGTTCCTTCACTTCCTTTCCCATCTTTTAACAAGCAAATATAGTCTCAGGCCTAACACATAGATGTCGCTAGTCTTATTACTTTCATCGCTTTTTCAGTTAGTAGTAACCTTCAACAGAAAGTTGTTGAAATTTCATGATATTCTGCTCATAAGTTTGTGAGTTATTGTGCTAAGAGTGACACTACTATTTTCAAAACAATGGATCAAAAACAATTTCGTGCTTCAATTTTACACTGCTTCCAGATGGAAAAATACCGTTCAAGCGAAGCAATGGCTTGAGAAGTGTTATAAGTACTCCACTCCATCAGAAACAACAATTAAACGTTGATTTGCTGACTTCAAACGTGGTCGTAGAGACACTGATGATGAGTGGACGTCCAAATGAGGCAGTGACACCAGACAACATAAAAAAATCCACTAAATCGTTTTGAACGATCGAGAAATTAAGTGTTACGTGAGTTAGCTGGCGTTGTGAAGATATTAAAAGAACATCCTTAAAGTTGGTCAAAATCGAGTCCAAAGGAGTCGGTTACACACAAACATACAAGTGAAGCCAATAAAAACGTGTTCAAAAACAAATCGCCTACTAAAAAAGAGCATTGAACACTTACCCTGAGAAGTCATATCTTTCTTGGACCCAGGTTGTATAACATGATACCACAAGAAAAACGTAACGTGAATCCACCTGAAAAATATAAACAGATTAGTAGGTTCTTTGTAT